TCAACAATTTCCTCTTTAAAGTCAAATCAGAAGTTTTAGAATCACAAATAAAATTGACCTCCTCACTAAAGAATCTAAGATTGGGTATATTTGTGTGTTATGAGTCAAGTTGCTAAAGTCCGAGTATCAGACAGGGATGTAAAAATAAGGGTAGTGAGAGAAGGTACTTTCAAGTGTTGTTTTGAGAATTAAATGACATTATCCATTTCAACCACTTTGCACAAGTCCTGAGACCTTCTAACAAAAAGCTTTAATTGTTGTTATTATAAGTTATCACTACTGTTATTATTATCAAATGAAAACCCATAACTGTTTAGTAAAATAGGCATTGTGTAGAATTTTTGTGGCTTCCAACTCAAGAATTCTATGAAACAGAATATTAGAAACAAAAGTTGGCACATGTCAGAACTTCACAGTGATTAAAAACACCAGGAGAGCATTTCCACGTCCAAACACAAAAGGACCTATTCAACAGCAGCCGTGGCAGTAAATGAGGCACCGAGATCTGTATCTAAGGAGAGAAAAGACAGCACAGACAGGAGGCACCCAGTCAGCGGAAAGAAGAATGCAGAGGGGAACAGCAGTCAAGTATGAGAACAGTTGTTGTGTATTTAAAGCAGAGAAAGGAAACCTAAAAGCTTTACAGACAGAGGCCAGATAAGGAATGTTATGCTTGGAAGGACTTTGCAGTTAAATCGAACCTGCTGACTTGAGACATGAACCTGAAAGTGTGGCAACACATAAAGACCTTAGTAATGTTCATTGGATAGAAGATAGCCTGGAAAACATGAAATATGGGAAAATCCAATAATGTAGGAGTATCCTAATGATTATATATTGAAACAAAAAAAGGCATTTACTACCAACAGTGGAATATCGTAGAAGTGACATTCTTATCCTGGCTAACTCAAGATTTATCACACAAAATGCTCACAAAAAATGAATGTAAGTTGACAGTGGAAAGGAAATTTGACCTGTATGTTGAAATATTAGAAAAAGGTAAACCATACAATTCTTTCTTAAAATTTTAGCAAATATATTCTGAAAAAAACGTTTTTAAAAAGTCAACTTTATAATACAAAAACCTAGGAAGTTTGGGTTAAAATTGATGAAGAAAGATGGACAATCATTAGATGAAATAATACATGATAAGTCTTTAGAATGAGAGTGAGAAATAAAAGGTGGAAAAGGAAAGATTTATTGAAAAAAAATAGATTAGAGAAGAGGAGAAAGCTTTTTAAGTTCTTCTTGGTTCTATAGTGCTCATCCCAATGAACATGCACTACTCTTTCTTGGGCCACATGGTGAGACTAGAGAAGCTGCGGGTGCCGCCGAGGCCTGCTCCTGGCTGGAGCAGAGGGAGACTGACCACTCCAGTCCCCACTGGCTTTTCCTTTTCTTCTTAGAATTGTATATTGCTGTTTTAATTTCTCCTTCACTCCCTAGGGTTGGGGGACTTCTAGAAACAGCTGAAGATCAGGTCTCATATTTAAAATTCAGAAATTAAACCATTTGAAATTCACTTGAGTTAAACAAAGGAAACTTGGATTTTCACAGAACAGCAGCACCTGAACAGACTGAAAGGAAGACTCCGCAGAAAACTGAAGCAATGTTCAGGAGAGGAGAGAGACAGAAATCCAAGCTCTCCAAATACCCTGTCTGAACCAGAGACTCTCGACCAACTGCATGGTGAAGAAACGCTGCTTCGTAAATGATGTGTGGGAGATTTTTCCAAGAAATCCATTTACATCTCCTGTTAATCACGTTAATTATCCGATACACTTCATATACAGGGTGGGGCAAAAGTAGGTTTACAGTTGTTTGGATGGAATATAATGCAATAATTAATACATAATGATAAAAGAATGAACTCTGTTTTGTGTACTCACAAGTGTAAACCCACTTTTGCCCCATCTTGTATGGTCTCTATCAAAAGAATAGCATGTTGAAAATGTCCCAACACATTTCAATAAATTTGTTGTCTAAATCAATTACAATGGTGAGGCTAAAATAAACTAAAATCAACAAGCATTGTTATTTTTCTCAACAATACACACATTTGTCAGCTTTAAAAAATGTTTTGTTTTGTTTTTTTAAATCTACACCTGAGGATATTTTTCCATCGATTTTTTGATAGAATGAAAGGGAGGGAGGGAGAAAGAGAGAGAAAGAAACATCCTTGATTGCCTCCCACATGACCCGGACCAGGGCCAGGGATCAAACCACAACCAAGGTATGTGCCCTTGACCAGAATCCAACCCAAGACTATTTGGTTGACAGGCCCGTGTTCTAACCACTTAGAAAACCAGCCAGGGCAGCTTTAGAGAATGTTTTGCCCTTTATGATATTTGTGAATTTGTTAATGGAAGAAGATTCAAGTGTCCATATTTTTCCTTCTCATGTTAAATCAAGACCTAAAAGAGTCGATTATAGAAAGCAAACTTTTCTGCATTAAAACACAGTAATACCTAGTTGCTTTTTCCATCATGTTGTTTGCTTCTGGTTCATATTTATTTACATTATAAAGATATTGAGAAAAAATGTGGTAAAATCTATCAGAACCAAGACACCCAGCTCCACAGATAGAAAAATATATTCTTGAAGAATGAAAGCAAGTTTATATATGCAATCCAAATTTAGAAGCTGCATATAAAAAAAATAAAATTAAGACAATAAAAACTAGATAAAATGTATCAAATAATGAATTATAAAATGAAATTTACATATGTACTTAGTTGTTATCCTTAGACAAGCCAATTTTTTTCAGTTGAAAAAACTAAAAATTATGATTAAGTTTTTTATTTAATTTTCAATTATATCTCTGATGAAAAATATCAGACGATAATAAAAAAGGTTAAAATTCTATATAAAACTTATTTCAAAGTTTCAAAGGTTTGCTGTAAGTCAATAAGAGAAAAATGTAATTAAAACAATTATACTTAATTATGTAGAACAAAAAGCCATTGATTATTCTGTTTCAAGCCTGATGTTCAAGCAATAATATAAAAAAGATAAAAAGCAATTTTGAGAACATTTTTGTATCCTCATTTTTAAATACAGCCAAAATATAAGTAAAGCTATAGACACATGGATAAGTTAATTCTTCACATCAAAAATTTGTATTACTCCTCTTGTTCCAGTGATATCAGTAATGCAATAATGTAAAGAAAAAGGTCAAAATTTTCTAACCACTCAGGTTAGGTAACTTAGACTGTTTCTTACCAAGTCACTATTTCCTGACTTGACTCCAACTTTTCTTTCCATGGCTTTTTCCCTTTAGCTCCTACACAAATGTGATAGCATTTTTTTTTCACTTGTGAAAAATGAAGAGGGATAATGTGGTGTAAGTGAGAATGAGGTAGGATCTGATTCCTCAGCTATAAATCTTGATCTGTCATTTCCCAGCTCTGTAATCTTACCGGAAAATATGAGAATCTTAACAGGACTTTGAAGATAGACTAAGGTAACCAACCCATAAAGGTTCTTAGCATAATGTCTGACATAGACATCAAGCTCCTTTACAACAAAGTTAAAAAAATCCAATACAATAATGAATATATCTTAGTATAAAGTAGAGGTCAGCGCACTTGCATATGGCTTTAGCCTCCGCATTGTATAATTTTAAATTAAAAGTGTTTTTGAATGCCTGTACTGGGACAGGATTTGAAATAAGATTTTTCCCCTTTGAGCACACTTTTTCATCACATGGGTCTTGGATGTGTCCCTTGGCAAAATCCTTTCAACTTTTCAAGAAGAGAAATGGAGTCGCGCTAATTCCAAAACATTTGGGAAGTAAAGGAATTGTCTGAATCCGGGGAGAATCTCTTCAGCCCCAGTCTCCTTCCTTTTAGAGCAAGCCTTCCTGCAGAGAGCACAGCTCTTCCTCTTCCTCCACACTGCAACCTTGTCTGGGGCCCCTCCCTTGACCTGGTTTCTGGGTGCCCAGTTGGCAACGCTACTTAGTAATGAGATATACTCCACATTCGGCACCTCCTCCAATGTAGCCTCTGCAACTGATCGGGTGTAATTTGGACTCCATTTTCCTCTTGATTATTTCTCAGATTGTCCAGAAACCAGATAGTGCTATTCATTCAAGGTACCCTAAAATATTCTAATATTAGACAAAATCTCCATTGTCAGAAGAGAAACATGTTCATAAAAGGAGGTGACTTCCTCCAGGTCTCACTGATTGTACACAGCAGATTTTGTTTTCAACCTGAGTTACAGTTTGTCATTTTTTTTCCTTTATTTGTTTATCTCTTTTATTGAAATATAATTCATATAGCACAAAATACATGCTTTTAAAGTGTACATTTCTGTGCTTTTTATATTTGCAGATTTGTGTAGCCATCTACTTCCTGAACATTTCTACCATTTCCAAAAACCTACATCCAATAAGAGACACTCTTCATTACCTCTTCTCCCCACTCCGGAAAAACACTCATATACTTTCCGTTCCATGGATTTGACAATTCTGGGATTGTATCATATGTGGACCCCTGTTTTTTGCTTTGTCCACTTTAGCATGATCTTTTTAAGGTGTATCCTCCTTGTAGTATGTCTTAGTATGTAGGAGATATTTTAGACACCAATACATCACTAGTTTTATACTTAGAGAGAAAAACATGAATATCTGCATTTCCTAGTTTAGAACATTTAGCCATTATGATAGTCATCAGAAACTTTACATACCAGTTTGGCTAAAACCATGGCGTGTGTTTAAAATAGCATCTTTGATCTCATGGTGACAAATACACCTAATTACTGAAATAGTAATCTTTAAAAAATCAGAGAGTTTCCATAGAAGTATGCTAAACTCATTATTGTTAACCTTTGATAAATATACTGACAATGTCGTTTCAATTTTTTAACTTAGAGTTGAGAGATAGACCTACTATCGCCTGTAAAATGACTGGTGATTAGAGGGGAAGACAAATGAGAATAATTAAGCAGCAGAGAACCAGGTCCAGGCCGTTCTCGTGTATGAAGAAGGCACTTACAGCTTACTGGGGAGGGCCGGCAGGTCCTGAAGGATCTCCTCGTAGGGCTCCTCTTGTGCTACGGTGGGCGCGGACTGGGGCTCCTGCATCTTCTCCTCCCAGGCAACTTCAGCTTTCAGCAGCATTTCCTCAATAAACTCAGATGCAGCGATGTCTGCACAAAACAAGACAAACAGGAAAAGTGAGTGGCGAAATCACAGAAAACTATTCACTTTCAATACTTCTGAAAATGCTAAAGTTCATCAGCACATGCGGCAAAAATAAAAACGTTAAAAGCTTAAGGTAGGAATAAAATTGCAGTACTGCTATTTAAAAAGACTATTTCACATTACTGACATATTTACTTACAAATGAAATAAAAAAATATATAAAAATAATTTTCAGCCCTGGCCAGTTTAGCTCAGCAGTTAGGGCATCGACCTGCAGACCAATGAGTCTCAGGTTCGATTCTGGTCAAGGGCATGGACCTGGGTTGCAGTTCCGCCCAGGCCCTGGCCCTGGTCAGGGTCATGTGGAAGGCAACCAGTTGATGTGTCTGTTGCATTGATGTTTCTCTCCTCCTCCCTCCCACTCTGAAGATAAATGAAAGAATATCCCCAGGTGAGGATTTAAAAAAAAAAAAAAGCAAATCTTTAAATAAGTAAATAAATAAATAAAAATAATTTCCGCTAAGTGGTGATATGTAAAATGTAAATTGCTGAGGAGCTAAACTTGAGGGAACTTAATGTTATTTTACTTTCAGTGAAGCTCTTCCTTCATCTTGGTGAATATGAAATAACACAATAAAAATAGTTTTATATTCAGAATGACTGGGCTATTATATAACATGTAGGAAGCATTCTAAAACATTTCACTAAATGGATAGATGTACAAATAAATACTCAGTTGTGTTACTGAAATAGTGGATCTAGCCTCCCAATCTGAAATATGAATTATTATAGTTCCTTATAAATCACACATTAACAGTGACATCTGGACAGCAATAGAGAAGGGCATTAATCAAACTTACACTTATTAACAAATGATGCTGGCAATCAATAAATCCCGAAGAAAATTCACATTAATAACAATTAGGAACCTAATGGAGTCAACTGCTCCTTTTCCATCCTAGTAACTAAACTGCATGAGCACCCTTGTCTATAAATTTGACTCATGTGGCTTTATGGGCTGGTTGCAGTAATTCAGCTACCACAAGAAAGTATTTACGCCAGGATTTTGTCATCATTTGCTTTGGGTTAAATCATAATCACATAATGAGTAGGAGACAGCTCAGCTTCCTTGCCGAGGGAGATGATTTCTGCCCCGCCTAACAGCTACACTTCAAATTGCTCTGATCCCCCAGTGGATTTTTTGTGTCCATTTTAAATTTAAGAAACAAAAAATAGCAGGAGTATAGTATAGTACTGTTATCCTTCTCATTTGTTCAGTCATAAAATGGATGTCACATTCACTGTCCTCGGCACTATTGTTTGATCTGGTTCTTTCTTCTTGCTCTTGGATATGATGTTGGGATACCCTGCATTTACTTGGAACCTCTTTGTCCTTTGGATGTGAGGGAAGTATTTTCATTCAATCAACAAATGTTTACTGAGTGTCTACTATTGTCACATCACCGTGTCTCTCATGACCAACATGGCATAGAAAAGGGGTTACACTGATGACTGATGGTAGACACGGCAGAACCAACATGGGCAAAACTGGCTGAGTCACCATGCACTAGGCCTGAGAAGCTCAGGCGGAGTCTAGACCAGAAGCTCAGTCATTCCCCGGGGCTGTGGGACTGTCAGTTACCTTAGATGTCTATTTTGGCACAGGTGACCCTAGACCTAAAAGGTGAACATGTGGCAGATAGGAGTCTATGCAGTCAAGGGTCAATCACATATTCCCTTCTTTGGGCAAGAAACCAGGAATATGAACTTGAAAACTGTAGTCTGTTAGAACTAGAATAGAGTTAACAGAAGGTGAGAGGGTGTGACATATTTCACAATAAGTACATTTGTAAAAAAAAAAAAAAAAATAGAAGAAAACTCTTAATTACTATTGCTCCTTTAATATTTACTATTACACATGCTTTTGTGTTCATGTTAAAATTACTACACTCTCATTAATATTGGCCTATTCTAAAGTTTGAGACTGCTAAGGTATCATAGTTCTGATTGTTAAATCGTCAATGTATTTTAGAAGAAAAGATTAAAAACACTCAACAATGATACTTAATTCCAATACAAAAAGAATAGAGCATCCTCATCCTGCCTTAAACTGGAGGTTTATCAAGTAATCATAATCCCTCCCATTTGTACATCAAATAAGAAATCTCAGGCTGGTAGTTATAGCAGCAAGAAGAATAAGTAGATATAAATTACTTAGATCAACTACTACCTTCAAAAATTTTGTATTATTTTGTTAGACTTTTTCCCTTTATTAGAATTCTTTTTTCGATGCAACCAACTAATTTAAGAGTAGTATCTTTTTTGTCAAATTTGGTAAAAGCTGAAAGATGAATGTGACATTTATTTTTAAAATATATATCTGAATACATAAGAGAACACTGGTAGAAAGAACTCTAGCCCGAGCTGGGTGGCTCAGAGGGTTGGAGTGTCAGCCTGTGTAACAAAAAGGTTGCGGGTTCAATTCCTGGTTGAGGGACATACAAGAGACATTTGATCGATGTTTCTCTCTCACATAGATCTATCTCTCTCTTCCTCTTTCTCTTTCTCTCTCCCCTTTCTTTCTCTAAAATCAACTGGGGAAAAAATGTCTTCAGGTGAGAATTAAAAAAAAAAAACTCTAGAAATGTTCAAAATATGTTTGTTAAAAATAAGTAACATTAAAGTAAGCTTTTCAAACTTCTAAATTATCTTCAGAATAATAGTCTCTACTTCTTGCAGTATAAATATCTGTGCAGAAAAAAATATTGTTATTGTTTATAAATACCCTAATGAACAAACATGTATTAAGAAAGATGAGAAACAGTTAAAACAATAGCAAGAAAATATTTTAAAGTAATGACACTGCAGGAATCACTACCCTGGAAGTTTAAAGCCTTAAAAGTGCATAGTAATGAAGTACACGGTGACCCATAAATATAACTGCTCTCCAATGTCTCTTGTCCTGGAGCAGCGCATCTGAACTGTGAATCGTGCCTGAACAGGGGCGGTTTTCACAGAGCTTCTTAGGACAGGCTGACTCTCATTCCCTAACTATGCTCATGATACGTGAACAACTTACACATGACAGGAAAGAAACAGAGACTGCTCAGTGGTCCCAGGACGCTCGCAACTTACCCGAGGCTTTCTCTTCATTGCAGTTCAGAAGGTTTGGATTTGCCTGATGCATCAAAAGAAGTTTTACCAGGTTTGTCTGAAAAATTAGAGATCATTGAAATAGGAAATACCATGCTGGCTACTGAAGATTTATCAGTAGATAATACATAGTCATGGCCTCAAGGGGCCCTTGAGGTTGGGGAAATGAGAATGCATTAGCATAACCTATTATGCCAAATGTTTCCTGCATTCTCCATTTCCTCTTCCTTTAAAAAAAATGATAGACATACAAACTCTTTTAGCAATTAACGTACTCAAACCAAACACTACTTATCAAATGATGGATAAATCGCTGAGGATTTGAAAAAGTGCACTTAACGCTTCTCAGGTTGGTTTGCAGGGTATCTCTTCTGGGAGGAATTACATGTTATAGTGGGTTTTGCTTTGTTTTAAATTCAGTAATTCATGAAAGTCTCATTTATTGACATTGTCCACCCGTTACAGCCTTGTGGACAATAGTAGCCTAAAGTCACATTGGAGAATTAGAAAAACTTAATTTCAAGTTATAAGAATTAACTTGAAGAGATTAACACATTTTTTAATTATAAAGTATATCACATAAAGTGTGCATATAATAATGTATATATATCAACGAAAGCCATAATGAAATAAATTCCAGTGCACCCAAATGTTAAATATGTCATTAATGGTACCTTTGTGTGTTCCTCCTAAAAGTTAATGCTCTTCCTGTTTCCCAGAGTTGACCACCACCATGAATTTTGGATTAATCATTACTATGTATTCTTTATATGCTTAGACCTTACATAAGAAAGTATCCTTAAACAACAAATTGCTTAATTTCATCTGTTTGTGACATCTATAAAAATAAATCCTGGTGTATGTATTATTCTATGGTTGACCATGGGTGACTGAAACAGTGTAAAGCAAATGACTGTAATCACCAAAACTATCAAAGTTTAAGGTGACCGACCGCATGTGCGTGTGAAAGAAAACACTACATGACTAGTAAAAAATGTGTTTAAGCTAAAATTTAAATTCACAGAACTTACTGAATATAGACTCTTACTCATTCCATGGATAGTTGTATTTCAGTTGGGATAAATTTAGCAAAATTAATCCTTTATGGTTATTTCAATTACCTCTTTAAAAACTTGAAACAAATAGCAATAAGTTTGGAGATAGTCAGATTCCTAGTTCAGAAGCTAAAGGAGATTGTCTCACTTAATAAAGAGAAATTATGACGTGAAAGGTCCCCAGGGAATTTGGAAGTTGTATATCCTATGCTCACCGCCACATACTCTGCAGTGTAATGAGTAAATGCCTCTAGCTCAGAACCATTTGAAGAATTTCAGATCAAAAATATAAAAATGTCGAATAGATCCTTAATAATAACTTTATTTTTAATCCAACTGTGATTTCTTATTAAGCAAATAGTTTTGCTTTTATCCCTTGAAATGCATGCTTTCTAACCCCACAAGCGCTCTGCTCAATTGTCCTGCGTTTCTTTCAGGAAACACTCACCATACAGCAGCCTCATTCTGCAAGGTTCATTCCATATCAGACTCCTCTGATAGACCTTTTTATACTATTAGATGTGATAGTGCCCATAATATTTGGCTCTAAGTTGAACTTTCTTTCCATTTTGCAAGACTTCTTTGAGTAATCTATCACAAATCTCTATCTCCAGACCTCTCCAATTCCTTGCACGTGCCCGAGTATCTCCTGGGGAGTGCAGAAAGGACCTCTTCCCCTAGCCAACAAGCCTCACGTTGCGTGCTCCTGCACCCACTCTTCATGCATCTATTTAATGACCCACCACTGAGAAAGACAAGCATCTGCTAAACTAAAACATTCAATGACCCTCTCTTTAATAAATGGCAACCTAGTACTGTGCCCGGCCCTGTGCTGACCAAGAAACAGACGTTGTACCTGCACTTTGTTCCCACAAACTAGAGGGTGATACAAACACATGAGACAATTCCAACACTTCTGATAAGTGTTGTGATAGCGATGATACAAGGTGTTATATAGGGTGCATGAGAGGAGCCAGTTCACCAGAAATTAAGAAATTAAAAAACTGCTAGTAAAGTAACATCTCAGTGTAGTCCTGCGAGGTTAAGTCAGATTTGACCACTCCACACTTTCAGGAAGAGCAAAGAACAGGAAAAAGATGTACATGATGGCATATTACAGAAACTGAAAGAAGTTCAGTATGGTTACATCCTCTAACCTGGTGGCAGGAGACAGGACAACCCAAGCTGGAGAGTTGAGCAGAAGCCCAAGCACATGGGCTCATTCACTGTGTTACGGAGTGGGCATTTCATACCAACAGTAATGGAAAGAATGCTATGTTGAAATAGTGTGATTATTTTTGCATTTAGAATGGAGTGGAGGAGGGGCAGGGAGCTCTGTTAGGAGGCTGGTGGGTTAATCCTCAGGTAGAGATGCTGAAGCCCTGGATGAGGGTAGAGGCAGTGAGGCACAGATTAATTGGTTATGATTGTAGTTTGAAGAGCTCAACTCCATTTACTAGGTAAGACTTTTGGGGCTCAGTGGTTTATGAGATATGGGGGTTAGGAGAAGAGAAGGAGGAACAGGTAATGCCCAGTAAATGATGAAACAGAGAAGGGGCAACAGATCAGGAATGGAAAAAAATAAAAAGATGATTCTCTTTGTACACAAGTTGAGTTTGAATGAAGGCAGGTTGATAGTGATTCTCTCTGGGCAGGGGTCCTCTTGGGTCTTGAACTTGGGAGAGAAGTGAGAGGAGGCTTTGGGAAGGATGAGCAAGCAGAGTATTTGAAGCTGGAGGAGGGGAGACTTCTAAAGACATGTAAATATTGGAGAGAGAGAGAACCTAGCTAGAATAGAACACTGAGCTTTTCAATGTTGTACGTTCAGAGGCATAAGAGGAAAACCAGACAGTGTTTTTATTTTTTTCCAAAGTAAAGAAGAAATGTCTGGAAAAAAAATAAATAAACTCTAACTATATCTCAATTCTTATGTACACGGGTAAAAATATATTGAAAATATAAGTGACTCCTTGAAAAATCAACATATACGGGTTGTGTGATACACAATATTTTGAAGAGAAGGATATTTAGATTTCAGCGCTTTAAAGTTATTTTCTTATGTTTTATTGCAGTATTACCGATGCTTTATAAACACTAAAATATATACAGGAATAGAACCAAATTTTACCTTATGTACAACTCATGAAAGAATTGTTGCTCAAATAACTTATTTAGTTCTCAGTTTTGGAGAAGAACAGGCATTTCTTTTTTCTCAATGGAAAAGTTAATGTATTTATAAAGGGAAGCTTTAAAATATATATGCCATCCCAGTATAAATGTCAGTAATAAATACTGTAAATACTGTTATAAATTATAAACTACCTTCTCCCTCAAGGTATTTATATTTGTAAGATATTTATAAGAAAATGAAATTGCCGTGAATGTCTCTAAAAATGTCATTAATCTTTCTAAAATGTTAGCATTTCTCGAGTTTTTTCCTGAACTGAGATGAATTTATTTACAGTAAATATCTTTAGAGTTATAAATCTCTCATGCATATAACCTGATATTCAAATAAAATCTGTTTCTAAAACATCATTTTGAAAACAAATATTAAGTGGCATTTTATGGGTAAACAAAATTTTAAATAATTCTAGATATACGGTATATTCTTGACAAAATAATCAAGATACAATTTATTCAAAATCTTCTATTAACATAAATCTCTTAGTTATTTTCTTAGTTTGAATTGAGGGAGAATATTTTGGTACTGGGGTCATATATTCTAAAGGAGACTCCTCACTCTACCTCTCAGCATTAGAACTTTGCTTCTAGTTCTTGGTAGATCAATGTGTCGATTCAGTTCCTTCCATTACTCTGCTGGACACAGGGGTGGCACCACACAGGAGTGGGCACACAAATCATGCTCTGCTGTTCTGGAGCTTACATTCCGGTGGAGACCATTCCAGTAGGTTTAATGGAGAAAAATGGAGAAGACATGTGTTCTTCAGATCCTATCCTTCGTACTAAAATATACAAGGATTTAGAAAATGCTGAAATAATGGCTAGTCATTTTCTAGAGAAGCAGAGGATAAAGGCGAGATTGTTTTTTTAACTCTGACTCATTTGTGTACTATAAATAGCCATTTCTGGATAACATTATGTTGGACATCTATCTATACAAGTCTAGCTATTGGGTCACTTGACCAGGACACATGCCCTTTGATGTTTCAGTGACGCATTTGCCTTCGTTATTCTCAACAATCTTGGAGCTATGTAAAAATGCCCCTATAAACAGGTGCATTGGTGGTTCCCATAAATTGAAGACCCTGGGGCTAGGCTCTATAGAATAATAATTATTAAGGCTTATTAGGTTCACACAGCCAGCAAGTGGTAACTGGTACTCAGAGCCGGTGAGGAGGCCGTGGAAATTCTCAGAACAAAGCTGGCTTCATCATTTCATTGGGCAAATTAAAATATAGGTGTGTTTGTGAGGGGGAGTGCCTGGGACATAGAAGAAAGACTAGGAATTCTAAAAAGAAGAAAGAGAAATAATGGTTTCTAAAATTTGGGGACAAACATTTTGCAGCTGGGTTTGAAAAAAATAAAGCTATTGGAAAGTTTCTTAATTCATTTAACATTAATAAATGATGCGTGTTGGAAATGTAGCTGGCATACTGGAAATATAGTAATAACAACATCAATCTTAATTACTCTTCATCATGCAAAGCCAATGCACCTTTTGAATCATATTTCCCATGTAAGTTCATGACCATGTTTCTCTAGGCTGAAACGCATATTTAAAGAACCCGAAGTTCAAATTTGGCGAAATCTTACAATTTGCCACAGTATGAATGGACTAGAGAGTACTATGCTAAGTGAAATAAGTCAGAGAAAGAAAAATACCATATGATTTCACTTATATGTAAAATCGAAAGAACAATATAAACAAACAACCACAGAAACAGACTCATAGAGACAGAGAACAGACTGATGGTCGCCACAGGGGAGGGGTTTGGGAGACTGGGTGAAACAGGTGATAGGATTGAAAGGGCAGATTGGTAGTTACAGAACAATCACAGGGATGTAAAATACAGCACAGGAAATATAGTCAGTAATACTGAAATAATATATAGGGTGCCAGATGGTTTCTGGAAATGTCATGGAGAATACTTTACAAAGTATATGATTGTCTAACCACTATGCTGTACACCTGAAACTTATACAAAATAATATTGAGTGTAAACTGTAATTGAAAAAAATAAAAGATTCGATTCCCGGCCATGCACCAAAAAAATAAAAAAAAAAAAATTAAAGAAAACCCAAAATTTGGGAAATTTTTTTAATGTGACAGGTAAATGGGGTGAGAGTACTGATATCCACGAATTCTCTCTACCTATTTAATCACTGATTTCCTCTATCTTCTGACTTTTCTGTGAAAGGAAACTTCAGGAAGCTTTAGGAAGGACGTAGCAGTTGAACTGGGCTTAAGTTCCTTATATCCCGAGGCGTGACAGGTGTCACATCGGCATGTATGTTAACCATTAAATGACTTTCTATTGTTAACCCTAACAGTGTAAAATAACATTTTTAAAAATCTACTTTCATCACTAAAACCAGTTGAAAGTAGTTTTACTATATAGCTAACCTGTCTTACTAGTTTAATATATTCCTTAACCTTTTTTTCATGGTTATATAAAACATGTCTTTCCAAGACACAAATTTTATCTGACTATGATTTTGTCTTTTAACACTTACCATATAATAAAGCTCTGTTATACGCCCTTTAAAAATGGATAAAAAAAGCTGTGGTACATACACACAATGGAGTACTATGAAGCTGTAAGAAAGAAAGATCTCTTATCCTTTGAGACGACATGGAGGGACCTGGAAAGTGTTATGCTAAGCGAAACAAGCCAAACAGAGAAAGGCAAGTATCATATGATCTCACTTATTTGTGGAATATAATGAACATAACAGTCGGAGGAATGGGGTAGTCCCAGAGACGTGGAAGTGGGGTACAGACTGACAATCCCCAGGAGAGGGGGAGAGATAAACCACTTATATGAACTTATATGCATGCATGCATGAACAATGGACATGGACAACAAAGCTGGGGACAGGGCGGGGAGGGACAGGAAGGGGGGAATCTGTGGGGAAAAAGGAGAAACATCTGTAACAAAAATAAATTAGTTAATTAAAAAAAGATTAAAAAAATGTATTCTCTTAGATAAAAGTTTCTACTTATGCAGAGTAGGGTTTCTTATGAATTCCTGAAAGGACCCTGCCTTGTTTTCATGGAGGACTTCAGACCTCTGAAATTGAAGGTACACTTTATGTGTCTGAATTTCTGGGGAAAGGATGGGTTGCTTCATCTGATTACCTGAGGGAAACAATGCCTGATAGCTACTACTTCTTTCTGCCTTAATTAATAGCATCTAGGATATGGAATGGACATATCTAGATGATCCTTCAAAATCTGAGGCAGAAAATACTGGTCATATTTAGGCTTGTTCAACATGCAGGACCAAGGATGACAATAATAAAACAATTTTGTAAATACATGTCAATTTCTACTCTGCCTCCGAAGGTGGTTTTCACGTGAAAATAACCATAGTTAATTTCCTTTCATCACACTTTACCAAGCTTTACAAGGCTTTCAGAAATAAATATTTTTCAAAACAAAGACAGTTGTTTATGATACACCAACTTAGACTGGTTTCCTCTCGGTCCTCTCTGCCAATTACACCAATAAACCCTGGAAATGATAACCCAGGAAGAACCCCGACCAGTGGAACGGGAGAAGGACTCAGAAGGGAGGAATCACAGAGGCAGGGCAGCCTGAGTCCTCACACCCTGTAGAAGAAGGCATCTCCAGACCGGGTGTTTTCCACCCCTGACCTAGTGACAAAAAGGGACCCAGACAGATGTATGCTTTCTCCATCCAAACTACGTCCCCTGACAAAATCAGGTGAATCTAACACCATGACCTCCCTCAACTAATATTAAGTGCCAAACAGGCAACTTCCTTCCACTGAGCCTCAGATTCCCTCCCCCACAAGAGATAAGAGAGGAGTATGTCCCAACAGGCCCCAAACCCTGAAAGTCCCTTTGACCCCATGGAGATTTTCCTTCTCCACTAGGAGACATGGGAGCCTGCTCTGGGGAAACCCATTCTATCCCTTCAGGGGGCACCAGCAGAAACCAGTGGGGGCCCCCAGGGTACGATAAACCAAGCATTCCAAAATGGCACCTCAAATGGTCTGAAAATTGTACTGTCATGGGAACCAACAGCCCACTCAAGTAGATCAGAAACTGATACTAAACCTTAACAGGTGACTGCTGGCTGAAATAGAATATTTGTAAAAAACAAGTTTCTCTTAACATAATAGCCAAGATGTCCAAGATAAAATCATTCATCACACAAAGATCTAAAGATTACATCTTGAATGAAAAAAAATGGTTAACTGACACCAACAGCAATATAAATCCTGTTGGAATTATTCAATGATGATTTTAAAGCAGCCATCATAAGAATGCCTCAACAAGCAATTAGACATTCTCTTGAAACAAATAAAAAAAAAAAACTCATAAAAAACATAGACTTATAAGGAACCAAATGGACATCATAGGACTTAAAAATACAAAAATATACCAATTCATACAAAATATTTCACTGGATTTGCAACAAATTAAACACACACACACACACACACACACAAATTGGGTTCTGATAATTTTTTTTTTTAATTTCTAGTAACAGAAATAGTAACATGTTTAGTCCACAATATGTAAACTTTTAAAAATCTAGTCTTAATCCCCCAGAGTTTATCTCATAAAAGTGGTTAAAGGGAACCAATTTGCTGCTTTTTAAAATGGCATTGATTCAAAATCTAAAATTCCTTTTTTTTTAATTGGGTAAAATGTAAGCCTTCATTCATTCAAGGTAGGGTACTTTTCTGCTACATTTTACTGAGCCATCACTAACTTCCAAATTTAGCTCCTTCCAGAAACAATTCCTGACTATAATGGGCACATCTTGATAATATACTGATCACCATTTCTTCAGCACAGGACAACAGTTTGGGTCCCAGGGAACAGTACTTATCTGTTTGCTTCTCTATGTTTAACTAATGACAAAACCTCTCACCAGTACACTGCAAGCTGCTCTGCTAGAAATAAAGTACTGAGATATTTATCCCCCAATATTCCAGTGGTCTAGCGGGGCCTGGGGACCCTGGACCCCTGAGGCCAATGACTTCAGTGATTGCAGCCTCAACCCTTAACCCATCTACACACACACACACACACACACACACACACACACACACACAAAATCACTTGCTAAAAGCACAATTTGAGGTTTGTTAATAATCGGTTAAAAATATTTACTAAATGACCAAATCTTTTTCTACAGAAAATCTTGCCAAAGTAAACAATATTTTTATTCATTTGAAGACCTTCCCCAAGCAAAGTGCATTTTCTAAAATGGTCTGAAATACAAATACTTTCAATTCTTTCAACAACTGCACAACTCAAAAATGTTGAAAGATATTTTGCATACCCGTTAGTTTCTAAGGAATTTAACTTACTAAAATTCAATGAGTGTAATTATTATCCCAAACTAATGTTTGGAAATCAGCACGTTTACCTTAAATCTCCATATGCGTAAAACTGAGTTATTTTTCATACTATTACTACTAAGACATGCTCTAACAAAATATACACATTTTTATAAATTGATTTTAATAGTAATGAATTACCATGAACAATGCTGTCCCATTCACCCACTTAAAAGTTAGAATTTGTTTCTTCTTCATGATATAATGGTACCTAGTGAAAATTAATGCATGCAATAGTAACTCAAGATGTATTAGCTACAGCCAAAAATCAATTCAGAGAAAGAACTCTGCTACCCATCCTTCATTCATTAAATAAAATATAGTTTATAGAGAAAAACAAAATATAAAATGTAATTTTACTTTACATTTATCAACTGTAGAAAACAGCATGATTACAGACTCATAAAATGGTAAGCTTATAAGGACTATATAATACTAAGAAACCTGCATTAAGCCCATTTTATAAAGGATATTTATAAGTTTTGATTATTTCTCCAATGATTTTGAGCACAATATGTAGTGTACATAGTCCTAAGGAATGTGTTATGTCCTTCTAAAAGTAAATGCTTTCTTTCATTCTCAAAACTATTTGTTTAGTAAGATGACGCCATTAAAAGTCAAATTACATCATGTTTAGTACATCATTTGAAATAAAATAAAATTAATATAAAACGATGCACTGATTATAAAGCCATTCGATGATTCAGGAAATCGTTTACCTGGCCGTACTTGGCTGCCAAGTGAAGCGGGGTCCAGTGCTGATCATCTGCTACATTGAGGTCCCCGCCGTGTTCCAGGAGAAGAGACACCACCTCCTTGTAGCCGCCTGCACATGCCATATGTAACTGCAACAGGGGTATTTTGTTCTTTAAAAAGCAGCAGTATTAATACACCTTATTCAGTGTTAAAGAGAGCAATTGAATAAAGTATTGAACCTAAAATACGGAGACCTTAATAAAACAAACAGATATATAATTTCATTTATTTGGTACAAGTGGATTTCATTATTCTTTGAAAAACGCTTGTGGGATAATTATTATTTTCCTTCTGACTCTGACAGTGTACACTTTTTTATGTAATTCCTATTTCCCTCTTGAATGACCCTTTCTACTATAATAGAAATACCTTTAAATACAAAATATAAAAATTCAATACTTTACCACTCCTTGCCCTAAAATCGAGCATGTACAAACTAGCCCTAAAATTCCAGCACTGTATTTGGAGCAATAGGAGAGGGATTCAAAGATACAACTGACAACAGAAAACATGATCACTGTGATGCTTATACACACATAAAGGGACAGGAACACGCGAAAGGAGGAGTCAACCCTGACAAGTTTTAAAATGATCATGTAGCTATCACTGTAACATTCTCCAGTTTAGTTTCTCAATGCAACCTGACATAAGGCTTCAGGAACTACAATGATGAAATTAGAGTTTGGAGAATCTTTCACATTTTTCAGCTGCGGTGATTCCTGTTTCTAAAGCAGCAGCCTTTCTTTGTAAGTAAACTATCATCAAACCCAATTTGCATTAGATTATTAAGTAACTACACAATTAATTGTATAGTTACAATAACTAAGAAGAGAAAATTGTAAGAAAAGGAAAAAAAAAACTAAAAGTAGTAAAAACAATGACTTCTAGATTTTTTAGCATGGAACATTTTCTTCCTCTTCCTTTCCATTTCTGTCACAAAAATAAAATTACAATAAAGTCAAAGAAGTTTATTAAATATATATTTTGATAAAATTCAGCAAAGTCATTTGCTTTTCTACCTTTGGACTTAATAGTGTTCTTCAATGTATAGTGATACTTATGTTTATTTCTTGTATTTCCAAGTACATTAGAGCAACACATAAATTTATCTAATTTAAGGCATAAACACTAAGAGGTTAAGTTTTACATCAATCTTCCCATACTTTTATATACAGAATTCATCTCATTAATATTTTAGCAAACAGTCCCAAGAATAATACAGCCACAGGTATTTTGATGGAATGTAATTTTATACTTTTTCCCACAGAGAACAAATTTTTCACCTGTTTCTAAATGTATTCCATATTATTTGAATCAATTATGTGAGTCAATGATTGGCAGGTTACTCTGTACTATATGCACTAATATCTGGATCTCAGAAGATTTTTCCCTTTCAGAATAAAACTGCATTAAGAATATTCCATTAGTTGGTTAGCTCCTGTTACTAACAACATCAAGTTCATAGGATCAATCCCTTTATGAACAGATTTGCATTCAATGCAGCAAATATCAGGTTCTACCATTTAGAACTTAGTCAACTCTCAGCCCGTCATTTCACGCACTGCTCACAAGGGAAAAACCAGAAGGAAAATAGTCCTGGTTCACTTAGTAGAAAAGCTGTCCAAAACATGAACTACCAGTGACGGCTATGGAGGCAGACACAGGCAATCACAGGCAATCTCAAAACAAGAACAAAACCCCCTAACTTGGAGTATATTTTTAAAAATAATCCTAATAAAATATCAAGAAGTTAGAGTCTTAACCTTGACTCCAACTACTTCTGAATTCATAAGCAAACCACGAGACCCTATGGGGTACAGTTTCTCATCACTAAAGTTAGATTTAGAGTTAAAAAATAAAATTAAAGCCCTGGCTGGTTTGGCTCAGCAGTTAGAGCGTTGGCCCTTCCTTGGACCAAAGAGATGCGGGATTGATTCCAGTCAAGGACACGTACCTCCATTGTGGTTCGGTCCTGGGTTCCGGTCATGCGGGAGGCAACCAGTCGATGCATCTCTCTCACATTGCTGTTTCTCTCTCTCTCTCTCTCCCTCCCACTCTATCTGAAGATAAACAGAAAAATATCCTCGGGTGAGGAATTCAAAATAAATTAAATTAAATTAAAAATGTCTATTTTCTGAAATAGAATTTATGGTCTTACCTTGTCCTAACTATGGGCAGGAAGATAACAGACGCCAAAATGTGAGAGTGCTTATCACCGTGGTTATGAGAATTCTGCTGCTCTGCTATTTAATGGGGTCTTAAGAGAAACACAGAGGTGGGTGTTGTTTCTGCAGAGAACTAGCAACAGGTCTTTGGAAGCACAGTTCTCATGGAACATTATTCCAAGTTGGAATTCACCTATCTAGTTACAATGCAGAGCAAGAGTTCAAATAGTTTCACAAACACTAGCCATAAATGTTATAAATTAGTACCTTTCTTCTGTACAATCTGGGATACCATTATCATCCTAATTTTGAAGCTGGAGAAGTTGTAGATCATATTATTTAGGAAACTAGTCCAGGGAAGCATGGCCACTGTAGTCTGAAAGCAGTTTCTTCTGCTCTCTCCAGCACTGATATTTTGAAATAGCAAAGGCAGTGGACATCTGCGTTGGCCAGGCTATAAGGATAACACTGCAGCATTCATGCTCCTACCAAACCTTGCCTTTGTCCACAATGTATTTGTTGTAATAAATGATCTGTCTTCTTCCTGTAACCCACCTCTCTCCCATGTACAAGTCTTATATTAAAACGCCTGTCTCTAGAAGATGCCCACTAGTTACACACTTGCTTCAGTTTTCCCTTGGCACGCCACCCTTGTAGGCACAGCCGTGTTTGTTAAACCTGCCTATGGGCTTTTGCCATATGTTGCAAAACCATCACTAGGCCCCAGCATTCTTCAGATCTGAAAACACAGGAGAGTCTCAGATCCCAGTGAGAAGTCTGAAGTCCACCCAGCCGGGATCCTCCCTAACGCTGCCTCCCGTCACGAAGGTTATGCGACAGGGCGAAGACAGAGAGCAGGGCCATGAGTACATCTTATTTGTTATCCCATATAGGATCTTACTTATTTTTACTTCATCACATCAAATAAAAAGAGAAACAAAAATAAGATTGCATGATATTTACATCTCATGAATAATTCTTTTCCAAAAACCCGTATGTCTCAAGGCCAGATGCAATATATCAAATTCTGTGATAAAACAGCAAAGAACTAGCATCTTTGTGATATATATATGCTAATTATAACAGTAATCTTTTCTAAGAACATATATACACTCAAACTCAGGAATTAATTTTCATATGCTCTATAACATGATTTTTTATGTTTTGTATCTTTTTCCAGGGCTTCTGTTTTCTTTTTAAAAAAATATTTATGTAACTTAAGAAACTTTTTTTTTTTTTTTTATCCTCACCAGAGGACAGTTTTCCTTTTTTTTTTTTGTTCAGGTAGAGTGGGAGGGAGAGAGAGGAACAGAGAGAGAGAGAGAGAGAGAGAGAGAGAGAGAGAGAGAGAAACATCGACGTGAAAGGAACACATCGAGTGGCTGCCACCCGCACAACCGACCAGGGCCGGGGACAAACTGCAACCGAGGTACGCGCCCTTAGCGGGAACCGAACCCGGGTCTCTCAGGACCGCAGGCCGACGCTCTAACCGCTGAGCCAAACCGGCCAGGGCTTAAGAGACCTTTTTAAAAGAACTATAATATATTTGGTCATTTCATGGTATGTTCTTTAAAAAAGGAGGAAAACAACAACATAAAAACCATCTTACTAGAAGTTTATTCCCAATGAACCTTTTGTTGATAATTTCATCTCTTTTGCACAGCTATTTAACGGTGTGGAAAATTATGTGTAATTCTGAACCACAACTGACATTCCAACTCAGGATATAGAAATCAGTTTAAGTATAAAAGTGTCTTATGTTGTCACCAACAATAGCCGGAAAGCCAATACACACGTGCCTTGCAGAAAGGCAAGCCCAGAGATAGCAGTCATTAACATAATACACTCACCAGTTTAGACCTAACAATCAAACTGAAATGCCATTTGCTAAATACTCGGATCTCCAAGGGACAACTTCTGAGCTTTCCATTCATTGCTACTCTCCTTGTAAAAAGCTCAAAGATGAGCGCCACACGATTGTTGTTACAGAGCAATTATTAGCAACATGTATGCCCTCTATACAATAAAAAGGAACGTCAAAATTGAAGATGGTTAAAAATGAGAGCAATCTATTACCCCGTACTGAAATTATGTCTAATTTATTTTAAATTTATTGGAGTTATGTCAATAGCTTTCCTACTGAGCAATGGTAGGTCCTTTCATTCAACAGTGATTGATTGCAGCATGCACATTAGTGTTATTTGACAGTGATTTTTAAAAATGTATATAAAGTTGTAATGTCTTCTGCCAAACAAAGAAACAAAGGCTCTTTTGGGTTTCTACTGCATGTTAAGCATTCGTGTATTGCATGTGTTAAAAGAACTATTAATTAAATAGCCCGCTCTACGCTGGATTTTAACCCCACCGCTGCAATGAAACTACCCTAGATGAGAAGACAGTGACCTCCATGTTACAACATCCGATAGCCCATCTGCCATCTCTATTTACTTGACCCCGTTCAGCAGTATTTCGTAGTGTATCATATCCTCATTGTCGTATTTCCTTCACTTGGCTGCTAGGACATCTCATTCTCTTGGTTTTCCTCCTACTTTGGGAGTTGCTCCTTCTCATCTCATTCCTAGATATTCCTCTTTTTCCTAAGCTCCAAGACACAGTCTCAAAGCCTCTTTCCTTCTGTATCAAATTCATGATTTCATCCAAGGTCAAGGATTTCCAAGATCATATATATGTTAATGTTTCCAAATTGTTTCTTCAGTCTAGACATTTCCCGAATTTTTTTTTTAATATGTCTTTATTGATTTTTTAGAGAGAGAGGAAGGGAGAGAGAGAGAGAGAGAAACATCGATGTGAGGGAGATACATAGACTGACTGCCTCCTGCACACCCCCTAATAGAGATTGAACCTGCAACTCAGGCCTGTGCCTGGCCAGGAATTGAACCAGGACCTCTCAGTCCATGAGATGACCCTCAATCCACTGAGCCACACAGGCCAGGCCATTTCCTGAATTTCAGTGTGCAAACTCCAACCACGAACTCAACATCTCCATGAATATGGCTAAGAGGCAGTGCTAACTATACTTCCAGAACGGATTCTGACCTTTCCTGCTCTACTTTCCTTCTATCCCCATGTCATTGAGCTCTAAGCTCAGTCCTCAGCCTTCTCTATCTCATTGATGGCAACTTCATCACTCCAGCTGTTCAAGCTAAAAATACTTGTAATCTTTCTCTCACATCACATTTCCATCAGGAAATGCCAATGAATCTTCCTTTCATGTAGACTGAAGCTAGCCACTTCTCACCACCTCAACTTCCACCACCGCTGGCTGAGCCGAATCATTGCTTTCCTAAAAGACTGGACACGCCTCCTAACTGAACTTTCCGCTTCACCCTTGCCCTTTCACAGTCCATCCTAACACAGCCGTCAGCGTGAGTGATCTTTGTAGAACAGACGTAAAATCGTGCCCTGCCTCTCTCTCTTCAGAATTCCCCAATGTGTTTCCGATCTCACTCAGAGTAACTGCCACTGTCCTCACAAAGACCCGAAATGTGTGTGATCTGATCCTGGTTACCTCCCTTCTCTCCTTTTCTCTGCTAGGCCAAACCTATCTCCTTGTTGTGCCTCGATCACATCACACCTGGCCACTGCACTGAACCACTGTTCAGACTGAAATCTACTGTGCTCAACCCCACACCATACTGTTTCCATGGTAGAAACCAAATCTCTGGGTCCAACCCCTTCGCCGTATCCCATGCCTCAGAGCCTCATACTCTCTCCTGCTACCCTCATTTACTTTTTTATTTTTTCTGCACTTTAACACGTGTATTTCCATCATAATTAATTTTAACCCCTGCATGCCCAGTCCAGGTAAATTTTATGTTCAATAGGGCCAAATGTTCATATTTTGATGACTGATCGTAGGTTTATATAAACATTAATCCAAATTTAATTGTTCTATTTTTAACATACTGCAGGTATGCCTAATAGTACTAAAAAAAAGTAATGACTGGAGTTTCCTTGAATTTAGAAATTAATTCACCAGACTAACAAATAGTTTGTTTTGCTCAAAATTAAAATATTCTCCTATAAGTTCTATCTCTAAAATCACATTGACAAAGAAATGCCAAAAAAAATCTTCTAAATGTGTAGGGAACACATGAACAGGAAGGGAGATTGGAAGAAAACATATCAGCATATAAGATGGTTTCCTCTGGATGGCAGCGTAAGTGATTTGCACACTTCTCTGCATATTTATGTGCTTTCTAAAATTTCTACAATGAGTATATATTACTTTTATGATAGAAAAGACATTGTTTAAAAGTTAATTACAGCCATTTCTATGTTTTAGAACTAAACTTAAACTCTCCATGTAAGCGATATTTCTGAATCAAGTATATTAACTTACCAGTGTTACTCCATCGTCGTTTTTCTCGTTAACATTTCCTCCACAGGATAAGAAGTGTTTGACGTCTGTCAACATACTCATGGGTCTCTGAAGCTTCATCTGGTGCAGGGAGGTCAGATCCACTCCTGGGGGAAAAGAGTCTTTGAAACAGAACGCAGAGATGCTTCTCGGCTGCTAGGGTGAAAATAGTTTCATCTTATATCTGTCCAGCATGTTCTCCGTTGAAGCCCTCTGCCACTTTGAATTCTCACTCAAAGCACTATGATTATTTCTCTAGGAAGCATTCCATTTCCAGCTAGAGTGTCGTCTTGAATAATTTCCCTCATATTATATCCCAAATCCATGATACAATACCTTACACATGGCAGGTTCTCAATGGATATCTGTGTTACTATAGATCAACACACCCTACCCAAAGTATTTTAAAGTATCTGAATTAAATCACAAGAAATTAGGAAGATACAGTTTTCACTCTGGCCAAAATAGTTGTTGCTAAAAGCAATGTAGTATTTTAGAATGGGAAAAAAAAAAAAAAAAAAAAAAGACTTTTGTGGAAAAGTTGAAAGAATCTGAATAAAGTATGTAGTGTAATAAATAAGACTATACATGTGACATGAATCATTATGACCTGATTATGTTTGATAATATCTATGTAATGTTTGATCTCTGAAGCTTCATCCGGTGCAGGGGGTCAGATGCCTATGCAAAACTGAAACTATATTAACATATCAAGTCAATCTGAACCCCAGTTTACTTCCCTTAACTGTCCATCAGATAATACAATTCTGTAACAATTCAATTTTTTTTTATTCCATTATCCATTCTGTATTGGGAGTATTCTACACTGCTGTTATAGATAGCTTTACCATTATGCTATGAAATGACCCATGCCATGATTTAACACAAAGTTATCTCATAAGCTTTTAGAAGTACATCTAATACCAGTTTTTGTCTCCATAGTAAGCTTCCTAAGAGATCCAAGATGTATAGGAAGCAAAAGAGTTGAGCAACCAAATAAAGAAAGTTGGTTCTAGCAAAGAGAAATAAACATATTTCAGTCATATAAGGGCATTTTAATCCTTGCCCCTACCCCTTCCTCCCAACCCTGACACAGGCATAATGTGGCACTGTCCTAGGCAAACGGGATGCACTGTCACCCTAACCCTGGGTGATTCAGAAGAGGCTGATGAAGGACAGCATTCTGAATGAACTTTATTAAGTAGAAGAAATAGACAAGGTCGTTTGAGAACTGATTTATCTGGGAGTCCTCTGAAGAATAAACAGCAAGGGCTAGAGGTGAGAAAACAAGTTACTGAGGATGTTCCAAAACAGACCAGTTTTCACTAAGGTAGAAACAGCACAGTCGGTGAGGAATATGGACACATTAGAGAGATGTCAAGGAGGCAAACTCCGTCGGATTTGGTGACAATTAGATGTGAGAAATTTAGGGGAAGAAAAGTGATGCTCAGATAGTTGGGTTCCTGGCTGTTCTAATAAAACAGACCATCCATAGAATGTATGAAAGGACAACAATAGGTTCCATATAGACCTGTTATTTCAAATCACCTGCTACCCAAGTCAAGACACTGAAAATTGCACACACAAGCCTGCAGGTTTTGAAAAATATCTAAGCTGCAGGAATATTCTTGGGAACAGGCAGGTGGTAACAACACAAGGAAGAGGGCGAGATAAGTCAGAGTAGTTTGGATGATAAAAGGAGATGCTGAAAGACAAAGCCCTGGGAACTACTAACATTTTGGAGTCTGGTATACAAGTGGCACATCCGCTGGAAACTAAGGAGAAGCTTGAAGAGAAGGGGACACTATGGAAAGATCTGTAGGTGAGAGAGTTTTTCTAACAGAGTGTGATCAAAGTCACCAACTGTCACAAGAGATGAGGTAAGAGGAGAACAGAAAAGCAATCACTGGATAGAGAACCAAGGAGGGCAACAGACTCATGGCAGAGACCTTTCCAGTGGATCCACAGTGGCCGTGGGCTGAGTAGGGTAGAGGAGCTCAGGAGAATAAATGTGAGCCACTTTCTCTAAAAGGAGAGATTGGAAATGAAGGAGAAAGAGCAGTGCACAGTGATATATGTTGAGTAAAGTTTTTGTATTATTTCTTTTTCAGGGACTTGAATATATTTCTATGTCTACATATACACACAGATATACACCCTCCCCCCACGGTGAGCATCGATCTGTCCTGGACCACCTTGAGCTCTCCCTGACTGCCTTCTCTCCACACTTACTCATTTGATAATCAATTGATTTCCTTGAACACCAGCTGGTTTACCTTGCACTAGAGATCTAATGTGCATCAAATACTCCATCAGCCCTCTGTGGCTGTCTTGTTTTCCAGCCCGGATAGCTCAGGCGGCGAGGTGAGGTTAATTGCTGTGCACGGGTGTACAGTGTATATCGGTGGTGACAGTACAATTAGAACTTGTGACCAGCGATTTTCCATGTAATCAACCTGCTCACAACCTCGACTGCCTCCTGCCACATGTGTCCTGATGTGACAGCATGATAAGCACTCTGATTAAAAACTATATGATGCAGAGTGAAAATTCAAGGATTGCAGCTGCCTACTTATAAGAATGCAGCACCGAAAATACTGGGCACTAAATAACAATAAACATCATATCTTGTAACATTAGATGTGTCTAAGGACATCAGCCCATGCTGTCACAGCAGATCATTCTGCAAGGGCACCAACAAGGGTAGAATACGTTGAATTGGACAGTATTTACTGGAACTGTGGCAGCACTACAGATAAGTAGGAAGGACACTGTCAGGAATGGAACTGGACTGTGAATGAGGTGAGGGGGGGCAGATGAACGGGAAGGCAGAGGCAGTGACAAACGGAAAACAGAGTTAAAAATTTAAGAGACTTTATACTGAATTTGTTCCAGCAAACATGCATTTTACAAACTGACTATGACAGCCATTACCATGACCAATTTTCTCCTGACCATTCAGAGTCAGGACCTTCCTCTCATTTTCTTTCCTTAATAATTTTTTAAAGCAGCCTCTCAAAGGAATATGTACATAGGATAGATAATACTGCTTTTGCAAACAATGAAATTTCTTATCAAACAAAATCCTTTAATGAGTTGGGTTTATAAGTAATGTCAAGTCTCTTGTAAATAAATGTAGTTAATGTTAGTTTCTGAAGAGAAACATTTATTTACAGGGCCTATTAAAAATGCAGAGCAGTAAAAAGACAGTCAAGTTCATGGCAGTTCAGAATCACGCGACTACAGGTCAAATTCTGCAGATGTGCAAATAATGAAATTTCCCAATAGTGGAATGTACGTAACTTTCAGCTCATTCTGCTTAGAGGGAATCGGCCTCCCAGTCACAGTTGACCAGATGTGAAGAACGCAGGTGATCCCACAGGGAGGAGCAGGTCCAAGGACTGAGGGAGATGCAGAGGGAATGGCTGACTACACCACACCACCTGTACCCACACTGCTGTCACCCAAAGACTCGGTGACCTTCAACAGCACAGCTCAGCTCACATTTGCTCTAATGAAAATAACAGTACTTACTTTGCTCTCAGAATTAATGAGACTATTTTCTTAAGAACTCACGGCTGCTAAGTACTAGTTGTTATTATTCTAAGCCATCCTCAGAATAAACCTTTTGATACACGCGATCTGGAGGAGGCGAAGAGCACGGGGAACAAAGACACAGATGTGCAGGCTTTTCTTAGAGACAAGAATAGAGTCACACGCACAGTGAAGCTCTTAACATTTTTAAATTTTTCTCTGACAAAAGATCATATTTGAAGGAACTGCAATTTCATTGGTTTTATTTATTCCCAAACATCAGAAAGAGAGAAAAAGAGAGAGAGCATATTTCTTTTCTAAATACCACATCGAGCTCAAGATCTGCCTTTCGCTTTGCCAATATTGAACTTACTCATGAAATGATACCCTGGGTCTGTGCAATTAAATGTTCTTTGCCACTGAATACATCTGGAGTCTCAGCGTCATCTTTCCAGGCCAGCACCGGGATCGTGGGGCATTCTTCTGACAATGTTTCTGTTTCCAAATGTCACCAAGAGAAGAAGCTGGGATGCCCATGCAAACTGCCCTTGACTTAAGCCCTCACTTACCCACATGTGATAATTCTTAAGAGGCCCAAAACTCCTAAGAGAATACACTTCAGATGACATCGCTCTCATTAACTTGAAATTCAATTGTGCTGGTCCACTTCTCTTCTCCTCCCAGTGGAGAATAGATTATAATTACAAGCCTATTCCCACTAATTATGGACTTCAGATGCTTGTTAAAATGTTCCTTCATTGTTGGCCTCCAGAATTCTGCTGGCTTGCAAAACTGCATTGACTAAATCAACAATGCATTGGAGTAGGAGCTTGCAAGGCAGTGTGGAAACATAACTCATCTTACGCAGTCTAGGGAAACTACATCCGTAGGAAATCATGTAAGCAGACCTAAAAAATAAATGTACTTATGATTCCACCAATCTATTTCTTCAGCTAGTTTTCTACAGTTTTTTCAGAGCTCAACCTACCTTTTTCATCCAGATAGGTCAATAGAATACAGCTTGATTCTGTCCCTTCTACAGCATAATCCAATGGGATATTTCCATTGACATCCTGGAGCAGGACATTGGCTCCAGCCTGGAAGTGAAAAAGAGCAGATATAATGTATGTGTGCTGTTAACACAGAAAGCAGGTCAATCCTGCTATTTCTATCTTACTCGGAAAACAGATACAACAGTAGTTTACGTTGGATACAATCCTGCCGAAAACTGGAATTACTTTTAAGAAAAATATATTAAATACTTTGTGAGAAACTTTGACAGTCTAAAAATGTTCAGCGGACCCTTGTAAGCCCCAAGTCCCAACTGCTTCTCCCCATCCTTCTTGCTAAGCCCAAAACTCCAATCAGGGGGTACTGAGCCCCTCACATCAATGTGCTAGCTGCACCCACACAGCCGGTCTTGTTTCCCACAGAACAGAAGTGCCCGTGCCTTCAGAAAGTGAGGATGGCATGCTTGCATGAACGCTGATCTTCCCCAAACTATCCTATAACATCTTTATGTTCCTTGCTCTCCAGCAACTCATCTGAGAGCTGTTCTCACATCATGATGTTTTAAAAAGGCTTAGGCTAATGGCTTCTGGGTGGTTTTTGTCTTTCCGAAATTTTTTGTAAGGAAAAGCATAATATGCAGACATTAATAAGTGGAGCATATGAAATATGATTATTATGTATCTTTCAGCTGCAAAGGGCCCTCCATCAAGCACCTCTCGGCGCACCTGCTCCACCCTCTGCCGTCTTAGCCTAAATAAAGATGAAAGTGCTTTTGCTGTAAAGAAAAAAAAAATGGTCACGTAAACTGTCACCATTGCTTTACATTATTTAATGAGCTCCATAAAATGTGTCAGGCATGGTTTACATCTTTTCTCCAAGGGCATGACATGAATATGTTCCCAGTGTCCAGGATTTCCCATGTACCTACCAATAACATGCCATTAAACTCAGGCCAAACAAATGAAGGTTTCCCTTCAGTCTTTTTAAGATGTCTGTATTGCCATATAAATAGTTACTATAGTTCATATAATATCCAAATTCATAACTTTCCATAAAATGTCACATTCATAATTTAATCTATGAAAATGTGGGTGTTTTCCTTTTCGGTGTGTGCATATATATGTGCGTGTATGTGTATAAATATCCTATACCTTAGGTTTTCCAAAGAACTGCTCTAAATATATTGTAAAAACAAATTGAAAAGTAGGTAAGGGTGGTATAATGTTCCACATCTTAATGTCTGCCCTCCAGAGACGCTGTGCTGCTCACCTCTCCATCTAGAGCTGACCACATCACATATTCTATAACCATAGAAAGATGCTCCTTTATTTGAACAGACCAAGTTATACATTTCAGATTTTCATTTACATAAGAAAAGCGAGCAATTTTAAGATCCTAAAGATAAGTTATTTTCTTAGTACATTTAATTTCATTTTTAATTCCGTTTGAAAAGAAACTACTTGAGGCACTGCTCGTAAGTAGACTTTGCTAATAATTCCTTTCCTTTGGTCTCCAACCATGAGAGCAAGATTTTGCATACCCACCCAAGGATCAATTATTAAAGAATCGATTAAGACACAGACCTATAGGGTGTTCTTACCAGTTTCAATACTAATAGGTAGGAGATAATTGAGTTATTCTTTTTCCCAGTGTATACTTTCAGATATAATTGTATCTATGCCAAACATCTAGGCACAAAGCAGCGGTGAATATAATTAAGAGTCATGTACTATCAATCACAACAAAAATAAATAAGAGAGTGACTTGAGAGAGGTGGGGCACCTGGAGAGACTGTCTATTCTTTCAGAAGTAATGAGGCTCTTTCAAAGAAAGTCTGAAAGTGGAACGATGCTGAATATTTTGCTGAACACACTCATTGAAATTGCTCCTCATTAATCACTCATTGGTCTGTGCTGCTAACTTACCAGGTATTATTCCCTATATAGGAGTCAGACTTTTCTAATCACAGATCACATCTTATCCCTCTTTATATTCCCAACACTTATTACTGTGCCTGGCAGATATTAGGTACTAACAAAGATTTATTAAAATAAATTGAAAATAAGGAGCCAAAACACTGAATTAAACTATTAAAAATGGAGGCAAAGAATTCTAATTTCCATAAGAATTTTTAAACTATGTTTTCTGACCTTCATTTTCAAGGGTGTAATATTACAGATTACAGATAATATCACAGATACTATTACAAAGTCATTATATGCATACTTATGTTTCCTGCCTTCAATCTTTCTATGTGAATAATGACGGGAAGCAGGGGTTACCACCCCAAAAAATGCCTTCGGGGATATTGCTTTTAAGATGGTTATATAGGAACAAAAGACTCAGCAAAAATCTTTCACAACCCCCTCCACTGCCAGAGAAATGTAGATGGGGGACCTGCTCCAGGAAGGAAGAGAACCCCACAGTTAACTACAGTTTCATGTAAACTAGTGTGTGAAAGGCAGAGAGGAACCTAACAAAACCCACTTGTTCAAAGTTCTCTCTCCACCCCATTGTTAAAGATGGCCCAGCAAACATTCATTTACCAAACATTTGCTGTTCTTCTCCCTGGGAATTGCCTTTCTGACCTCTGAAGTCCCAAACCACAACCATCCTTTGTCCTTAGCTTCAGAACGGCATACAAGCCTCAGCTGGCGAATAGTCCTTTGGGTCTCTATTCTTATGGCACCCCAAATGTGCAGCCCTACAGTAAAGTTTGGACATTTTCTCCTGTTAATCTGTCTCTGTTAATTTGATTATTAGCCCAGCTAGAAGAACTTACATGGTGAAAGGACAATTATTTTTTAGCCCCTACAATGGCATTTATGCAAAATTCTCTCTCTCTCTCTCTCTCTCTCTCTCTCTCTCTCTCTCTCTCTCTCTCTCTCTCATTTTCTCTCTCTCTTTCTCTTTCCCTTTGTCCCTCCCACCCCTCTTTTTTTCTTTTTGGGCTAGAATGCCCCACCTGCAGTGGTCCTGGTGCTCTGCCCCCACCACCCAGACTATCTGGGGTTGACAGATGTCCATAGACGGGCTGAGCCATGTGCAATAACAACATAGATCCTAAAGGATCCCTGGAGAAGCCGTATTTCTTGAATTACAATTCTGAAATTGTACATCTATTGTTTGAAAAAAACACCATTGATAAGATTCATAGCTAATTACTATTCTTAGACTGAGTAACTTAGAAGTTAATGTGCAGTTATAGTTGTTAATGGATCCCACTGGAAATAAGGCACTGATGACTTTTAAAACAGGACATTTCCTCCAAATGTCAGAACACTTCTCTTAATATCATCAGATGGTCTCATTTCTAGGATACAGAAAAGGAGGTGGCTCAAGGGGTTGGGAATTAGTACCTATTTTAAAATAAACACCTTGAACCAGTCGGGAACATACAATGAATTTTCTCAACTTTGCAAAGTGAGAGCTAACAAATAATTTAATTAAATAAAAATACCACTCTTGACATTGTCCATTTTTAATGTGAGAATTTGAAACATGTCCTAAGATACCAGTTTTCTCTTCTAAGACACGACATTTTTTAATATCTTTTCTAAAATGTTCTTTTAGATTTTCAAATTTTATTTCATATGTAAGTGTCCACTACATGATTTTTCAGCTACAAATATAAAAGCCGGAGGAAAGGGCTCCGGAACTGGTGCACGTGGTAATGACACTGTTTCCTTGGATACATGGCTCGGAATGAGGACGCCACAGTAAACAGTAACTTTAATTTCCTCGTGAGCTGGTTTGTGCATTTGATTGTGTACCTAATTGTCTTATTTCAGGGTATGAGAAACAGGACAAGTTGAGGATGTAGATTGATTTTCAAACATAAAACAAAGAATATCCAAGCCTACACTTATTTTATGGAACAATAACTTTAGCAATCATTGTACACATTTTCTAAATCTTAAGTACTATTTTAAAATTACTGAACGTTGTCCTTTATAAAATCATATGAATCAGGAATTGGGTGTGTAAAAAGGATACTGAGAGTGAGAGGAGATGGCAGGTATACATACTTTTCTCATGAACCAAAAGAACTCATTTATATTTGATGCCCTAAGCCCTAAGGGTGTGTGTGTGTGTGTGTGTGTGTGTGTGTGTGAGAGAGAGAGAGAGAGAGAGAGAGAGAGAGAGAGAGAGAGAGAAAGAGAGATTGTCCTGGTTTTATATTCCTACACTAATCAGCAGATGTCAAATTCCTAATACTGACAGTAGTGATTATCCTTTGTCTAACTAAAAGGAGAAATTCCAAATTAAGTAAAACTAGCATTCGTAAGAACAAGTCAACAAAAAATATCTTTGTACAATAAACACTCTGAGGCAAGTACTTCAGCTTGGCTTCAAGAAAATCAATCAGTCACAGAGTGATTGATTTTCATCAAGGAAATGAAAGTAATCAATGCTATATATGCAAAATCAACAGAAACTTCTCCAATGTTTTCTGTAATTGAGGACTGTTTAGTTCTCACTGGGATCTCTAATCTCATTTCCTCTTTAATTATGCACACCGGGAGGCCACCCAGCTTCCAACTTGTCCTAAACTATGTTCCTGGAGTACTGGAAATGGAATTCAAATATATCATTGCCCCTGAACAGGAATCTCATTTACTGCCTATGAGGTGACATATGAACAATTAAATATTCTTTTACATTATGTAACAATTTAGTATCACTGAATATATTTAACAATTGTTTGATTTAGTAATAATTCTCTAACCAGTGGTTCTCAACTTGTGGGTTGCGACCTCTTTGGTGGTCAAACGACCCTTTCACAGGGGTCGCCTAAGACCTTCGGAAAACACATATTTCTGATGGCGATTCATAACAGTAGCAAAATTACAGTTATGAAGTAGCAACAAAAATAATTTTATGGTTGGGGGTCACCACAACATGAGTAACTGTATTAAAGGGTCGCAGCATTAGGAAAGTTGAGAACCACATTCTTACTCTAATGTGTTAGAGTCTAACACATTAATAATTAAATTTTCATTAAAGGTACCTACTGGCATTTTAGTTAAAAAAATACCACTCTCTATATACTAATACTTTTTGGTGACTTTTTTCTTTTGACATA